TATTTATGGTAACGCAGTTATATTTTTGGGGTAATGGTAACGATTTCACTAGTTATTTTTATTCATTACTTTATTTCTAACCACGTAAAAGTTCTAGTCGTAATTGGAGTTACAGAAAACAGAGATGCGAAGTTAAAAGGATAGATTAGCTCTTTTAATCACGTAGAGAAACTTATTTTTAACGTTGTCAACCCTGGAAGTACCATATGTAATCAAGTGATAGAAAGTACACAATAATAAAATAATTCAATCTTTTGCAAGTTACATACATAAATGTCTTTATAATACCATAATTTTTAAATCATTTTTTATTTAACTGTTTACACATATTTCATTGTTATTTGACATATTCAAGGTCTACTCAGACAGTACACAATATTTATAGAATATTTACAGAATAGTTGTACGATTTATTTTTAATATTTTGTAAATGTTGTGTAGTCATAAATTATATATTATACTAATCATAGATATTTATTCTAAAAATTTTGAAATATTTATTGTATTTATTATAGTATCCTATAAAAATACATAGTAAAGCTCTATAATATATTGTAAGTAAATAGTATTTATTAAAAATATTTATTTATTTTATCATAAATTTTATACAATATACATTTAATTTACATTTTAATAACGTTTTCAAATAAGGCTTATATAAAATGTGTATAAAATATTTATATAGTATTCTAAAGAATGTATAGTTATAAATATTTATGAATATTTTTTTATAAATATTCTGTGCTGTCAGGTAATACTTTTATATAAATTGTTTTCAATTTAATACAAACATTTTGATTAAATATAATCAAAACACATTTTTTTAGTCCTACCGCGGAGTTTTGGCCTTCTTTATAATTTTATTACAGGTACGTGATTCGAATCTTTTATTGTCTCTAATACATAATATAAACATTTTGATTATAATTTAATATCAATGTATATAATTAAATGTGTTTGGTCAACCCTTCATGTTCACACTTTAAAAAATTACACACATACAGTTTATAATTTCATTTTTTAAGAAAATGGAACAACAGCGTTGTAGTGAAAAACTTAATTTTAACAAAAAATTGTAAACTCATTAACTTCGGAAAAAGTGGGTTCTTTTACGTAAAAAATTATAACTTTTTAAATTTATATTTTGTAATTTTTGTTTTAGCCTAATATTCTTGAGATTTACATTATACTCGGTTTATTTTGACCCATAGTGACCATGAAGGGTTAAACTATATAATAGAATTTCTGTTCGTTATGTAACGATTTTAAAATTCTTTTTTAAAACAATTAGAATGTTTGGTTCTATAATATATTATATTATAAGGATTATATATATATATATATATATATATATACACACAACATAT